AAACTGAGTTTTATGGCCGGCTATTCGCCGCTACAATAGCTGTCATTTGCTATTCAGCCGTTTTGGGCATGAATTTAATGAGCACAAGGATTATTAGATCAGCACATCGACCACGTTTAATATTATATACAATAATGGCTAAATGCAAGCACCGGAACGTTCGCTATCGACTACGGCTGCAGACATTGGCCGAGCAGTTGTCCGGACCGGACATTGGTTTCTATTGTTATAATCTGTTTCCTATGAATAACTATGAGTTCTATCAATACCTATATGTTTTAGGCCTGAATTATATACTTATTATGAGTTTAATATGAATAATTATTAACAATGTCTAAAATTGCATAAATATATTAAAGCATATTGAAAATATAAAACATTAATTAAATGCTATAAATTATTAAGAATATATGCTATCGTTAATACTGCAGTAAAAATAATTATGAGTGCATTTAATAATTAATTAATTTTAATATCTATGTATATCACAGGTAAAAATTTCGTTATATTATAATTAGATAATTAAGCATTTAAATATCTAGAGCTTAATATTTACTATTGTACATACCAACATATTGTACAGCGCTAGCCATCGGGGGTCTTAAGCTCCGCCCATAAATATAACTTCAAACATGCGCTGTTTTGAGTTCGCTTTGAGTGTCACAATGCAAAAGCGCGAGTCTACTTTGCTGTGATTGGTTATATTTATGGGCGGAGCTTAAGACCCCCGATGGCTAACACTGTACTGGTAGTTAATTGAATGTTTAAAGCAAATATTAACAAATAACCTATTTTAACGCTTGAATTATTTTTTAAGTTTTTAAGTTAATATATCACTTGAATTTTATATTATTTGTAATATTGAATAATAGAATATTTTGTATTTACATAAAATGCAAAAGTAAATTAAATATAATTATAATTAGACCTAAACATCAAACGTATTCAATATTTTTTAAGAAACAAATAAATGTATGTTTTGTTGATAAAAAATAAGATTATTTTATAATTAATAACTGCATTTACTTTATATTTAACAAAAATATTAATTTACTACTTATATAATAAACACACAAATTATATATCTATTACTGTATTTACAGACTGTCTGTAAGTGAAAACAAATATTTAGTTTTAAAAATAGATTTCATATTATATTAATTAAATTCAAAAAATTTCTATCACGCAAAACGAGAAATATAAATTTTGGATTAATACCAAGTGTTAAATACAATAATCTGCAAACATGAGGCATAATTTAAATAATTATCATATGATAAGCCGTGATATTAGTGATGGAATCGCACGGATTGAACGGTCGGGTCGACTATTTTTGGTATACGTTGTCAGGGATTGCGATGAATACATGTCTGGCCCACACCGGAGCCCACGGCGACTGGTTTTGGTCACATTAGCTCGTATTATGTGTCTATTAAATGGCATTAGATTTGGATTATCGGCTATAATCCGAAAGGTGAGATTATAAATTAATCCATTTAATCGTCATAAACTTTTAATGGTGCATAATCTTAAGCAATGGATATACAATCTCTTATGCGATCCATCGTATACTTTGGCTAATCCACTGATGGGATCAGGTTTTATAGCAATCCTATCGTTTACCATATTATCGGTCGGTATTAATCTCCAAATAACGGATTTGAGCCAAACTGTTCACACATATAAACTAATCTATGAATTAAAATACCAATTAATAAAATACCCGTTAAATAGCCGTAATATGAGGCGATTTACAACACGATTAAACATAATGGCCAGATATGTAATTGACCAAGTTTCATGCTTTATGATAGCGGCTACAATGTCAATGAATCTATACGGTACATTCTTAGCGTTTAATTATCCAGGTGCGAATTATACCATAATAAGCACACTGTTGTGGTCGTGTGTATTATTTGTATTTTGCGTTCAAGTGTTTGGTATATTGTTTTGTGGATTCAGCCTCTGGTACGCCAGCGCCTTATACTTGAAGTACAAGTTTAAAGAAGTATACGATAAGTTAGTATCACATGTTAAACGTTGTATAATTTATAATATGGTCAATATTGACATATTACTTGATATACTTCACGAACACAATTCACTGGAAGTATTAGCTTGGGATCTGAACTATACGTTTCGTTGGCCCATATTTATCATCTACTATATGGCGACCCCAGGCTTTCAGCTCCTGATATATTGCATACATCACAGGGAGACTGACTTTTATGGCCGGGTATTCGCCGCTATCATTGCTGTCGTATGTTATTCAGCCGTATTGGGTATGAATGTGATGAGCACTTGGATATCCAGAGCAGCTCATAAGCCACGGACAATGTTGTACACATATTTAGTTAAATGCCCGACACTTCCCGTAAGGTATAGACTACGGGTTCAGACGTTGGCCGAGCAGTTGTCCGGACCGGACATTGGTTTCTATTGTTATAATCTGTTTCCTATGAATAACTATGAATTTTATGAATACGTTTATATATCGAGTTTGAATTATTTACTTATAATGGGTTTAATTTGAATTATGATAATGTCACATAGCCTATGTGTAAGCTAAATAAAATGTAAATTTTATATTATGTGTTTCATATCATTTTTAAAAAATTAATTCTTATGTTCAATAGATAACAAATAAAATTTTATAATATAATATAATAATATACTATTTATTAGTTATTTAATAAATTAAATGTACTAACAATGAGAACTAACAAGCACATTTGTTTGATATTAATTTTACTTATTTACAGAACGAATAAGTATGAACCCGTTGTGCATCACTCCAACGCCCGACCCGTCAAAAGTGGCAACCGTTGCCGATGTGTGTTCGTAACGACCCAAATAGGATGACTTGCTGGCTGTCGCGTCGTATGTCTTCAGTTCGTTCACTACATCCTCGACACTGATGTCGACAAACGGGTTGTGACGAGTGTTGAGCCCAACGCCGGCCAACTCTCCCGGTTTGGTGTCGACTGTGACGGGCGTTTGTATGTGTCTGCGGATGGGTTTACCACTTCTACCCTCACATCCCTTTCGTATACCTTCACTGTATTAGTTCGGTTGAACTGCTTTCCGGTCACCTTTTCATTTACTCGTGCCGTGAATTCAATTTCAATGTCATCAATGGGTTCTTCGAGTGCTAAATCTTCTACTAAATTGACGGCTATTGTAGCGCTTCCGTCGATTGTAGCCATTGTCCGGTATTTACCTAGAAGTAAGACACAAAATAATACATTAATGTAATAATATATACATAATAATAATAATATTAGAAATACTATATAATGTATAGACAGCAAAAAATGCTTTCTTGATACTTCTGCACAGAAATAAGTAAATAAAAATTTATTTCTAATTCATTATTACAAATATTAGAGCTGTGTTCAAAGCTATGAATCATTCATTATTTGTATCTAAAGTTAAGTTTTTCTGTGCAAAAGCATTAAGTAAGCATATTTTTGCTGTCTATAATAATATGTAATGTAATACAATGTAAAAGTTACATAATAATATTAATATATAAAGTAAAAGTATAAATTATTTATAATTAATCTATACTCGGGGTGTGATAATTTTTGGTCTTAACGGTTAAAGTGAGCTCTTCTTTAACAGCTTTCCCATTGGTATCAATTGCTTTAACAGTTGCGACCACTTCTGACCAATTTGTGGTCACATATGTTGGCAACACTACCTCCACGTCAAACGTGGGCAACACATCCTCGTCGGCGACAACAGTGAATGTCTTAGTGGTGTTGTGTCTGAACGCCGTCACACCTATAGTCCAGTGGCCCAACACTGGCTGTGCCGACAGTTGCAGCTTATCGTATAGTGATTGCAGGGGTAAAGATGGCGACCGCGTGGTAGAGCGCTGGATGTAGCCGCGGGAACCGATCCCTGGTCACGATACCTACTTTCCTTGTGGGGCCCGTCGGGGCGTGCCTCGTGTCTTGAGTCCTTGTGGGGCCCTCAGGGCGGTCTCGGGTCACAGCACGGGGTGACCGAGACTAACTCGAATAACCACGAGGTTATAGACAAACAAACGTTTATTATAAGGACAAGACAGAGACTACCACGAGCACAGGTAAGGCGTGCTCCTTATATACAGTGAGTACAGGTATGAGGTGAGCATAGCGTGAGGGTTAGGCTAAGGTTCAGGGAGACGTATTGGAGGGGAGTTCACAATACGATAAGCTCTTCAGAGATGACACCGTTTTTTGCATACAATTGTGTTCATTCATTGACACGCTTTCCGTTACCGTCCTATCAATTCGTATGAAAGTTATGAAATTAATTAATTTATTAATAATTAATTAATAAATAAAAACTCATTTTCAAACTCTAAGATTATAAATACCTCAATATTTATATCAATAGGAATGTTGTCTTTGGGAATCAGCGATGGGTTCACCACAACTGCCCTGAATTGTACTTTCTGTCCGGGTTTATACGTGGCTTTGTCTGTCTGTATGAATACCGACACACTTTTCGCCACATAATGAAGCGGTAATTCATTTAAAAATCCGTCCGTTGTTATGGCAACAGTTGGTCTCTTTCTATCCCCTCCCCAGAGATCACGTGGAATTTTATTATCACGTTGTTCTGCGATTACATCGTAGTTGGTGAAATTGGCGCCCTTTCCCATCACCTGCACTTTATAGTCTCCTTCGGGCCAATCGCCAATTGCTAGGGTTAACACTTTGGACTCAGCCGTACCCACAGCTACGGCACCGGTGCTGACACTGTGTGCCGAACCAATAACACTGGCGTTCACTTCGATGTGCGCCGGGATGTCATACAGTGAGACACTGATGTGGTACTTAGTGTTTGGCCGCAACACCTTCGGGGCCACCACTGTATACATTGGTTTACTTTCATTCGCCCTTATATTCGCCCTTAACAATAATTAATTTTGTAAATTTTAAAAATTAATTAAATATTAATTTCATTAATTAATACTGACAGATGTGTTGTTGAGATGATTGCCAATAATGTCAGTTATTTAATAAAAAATTGTAAATAATATTTCATTGCATTTCAATTTGAAACCCATAGTTTGAACATTAAATATTTCAAAATAATTTATGTATTTAAAATATGTTCACAAATAGAGCTATGCTTACAATGAAAGCGATTCTCTATCTATTTGTAATATTTACAAACTTATAACTGCTTCACAAAAAATATATAACGAAATTCTTATAAAATTCATATAAATATAATTTTTGTTTTTAGACAGGAATCTGACGTTTCAAATATTGTGAAACTTTTAGTGATTTTGAATTAATTATAAAACTTAAGTTTATTATAAATCATTAGGAAATGAATTTTATATGAATTTAGTCATATTTTTCTTGCAATTTGTAAATGTATATAAATATTATAAATAGATAGAGAAATGCTTTCATTGCTTTGAAAGAATTGCTTTGAAATATTTGGTGTTTAAACTATTGGTTTCAATTCAATGAAACATTATTTACAATTTTCTATTAAATGGCTGACATTATTGGCAATCATCACAACAACACATCTGTCAGTATTTATTAATTAAATTAATTGATATGCAATTTATTCTTAAAATTTACAAAATGTAATTATTCTTAAATATAAGGACGAATGGGAGTGTTGTACAATGTATGCAGTGTTGGCCCCTAAGGTGTTGCGGCCAAACACTGATTACCACATCAGTGTCTCGCTGTATGACATCCCGGCGCCCATTGAAGTGAATGCCAGTGTTATCGGTCCGGCACACAGTGTCAGCACCGGTCCCGTCTCTTTCGGTACGGCTGAGTCCAAAGTGCTAACCCTAGCGATCGGCGATTGGCCAAAAGGCAGGTATAAAGTGCGCGTGGAGGGAAAGGGTGCTAATTTTACCAAGTACGATGAAACTGTTGCCATAACAACGGATAGATTTCTAAATGAATTGCCGCTTGATTTTGTGACGAAATGTGTGTCGGTATTTATACAGACAGACAAAGCCACGTACAAACCCGGACAGAAAGTACAATTCAGGGCAGTTGTGGTCAACCCATCGCTGGTTCCCAAAGACAACATTCCTATTGATATACATATTCCGTTTACCCGTGATAGAGGCCTCTCTCTCTCTCTCTCTCTCTCTCTCTCTCTCT